GTTTGCTTGTGTTGTATTAAGATATGGATCTCAAACTCCTACTTGGAGTTTGTTTAGCTTCTTGGATATATAGATTAATATTTGTTGTCAAATTTGGGGAAAATTTTTAGCCATTTATTCTTCAAATATTTTCTATCCTGTTCATTTTCTTCTCTTCTTCTGGAATTCTTGCTATGCTTGTCTCTATTTGGAATAGTAGTCTCCTAATGATTAGATAGAGATTTCCTTAAATGCCTGGAACCAGTAAGTTTTCCAGTGTTTGCTAAAGGGCTCTGTGGACATTTCGGGGCACACTTTCAACACTCAGCCAGGCAGTTGATAACTCTGCCTTAGCCTTAACTTCCTGTTTGCACAGAGCCCAAAGTCATCCAGAGGTGAGAGATTAGGGCCTACTCAGGCCTTTCCTGAGCAAGTGGATGGCTATTGGCATGTCCAAAGCTCTACTAATTCAAGAGGCCTTCTGACTTCCAAGAATATGCCAGAGCTTTTCAAAACGCCCTATGGACATCCCATTTACCAGCTTATCCTTTAAAAGGAAAAGCTTTTTGGTTAGTTTATTGTTTGCCCCAATTGTTATCTACTACCTCAAGCAGTTCCAAACTTAATTGCCTCTAATTGTTTTAGATAAGCAACACCACCCCACCATGGGAAAAGGCAAATAAAGACAGCTTATGAGTAATGCCCTTACAGGGCACCACCAGACAGTTCAGATAGTGACAATTCTCCAGGAATGATGCTTTGAAGGACTTCCATCTCTGTTCTACTTCCTTCAATGGCTGTCAGGATGCTGTTTTCCACTGAAACTGTGGGCTGTTGGTTTTTCAAGGCTATCACAGAGGTGGAGAGGGAAGGATAGAAACAGGGCAAGTTAAAAAGTCTACAAACCTTGCTGCTCTTTCCAACAGTCAGCTGTTTTTCTTAAATAACACTCTCTGGATTGCTGTAAGCCTTTGGTTAATTCTGAATTCTGGAAAGTTGATTTTGACAATTTTTGCTAGTTTTCTGATTTTGTAAAGGAGAGAATTTTCAGAGGTCCTTATTCTGACATTTTTGTTACGTTCCAGTGTGCAGTTTTTTTTAACTTGAGTTTTGCCAGTGACTAAAGATGTTGAACATCTTCTTATGTGTTTATTTGCTATTTGTAAGTCTTCTTTGTGGAGGTTTCTGCTCATTTTTCCATTTTTAAAAATCAAGGTAGTTGTTGTTGTTTATTGAGTTATGAGTTCTTTATATATTCTGAATTTAAATCTCTCATCAGATACATGTTTTGTATATATTTTCTCCTAGTCTGTCTTACCTTTTCATTTGTATACATCTTTTAAAAATAATTATTAATGCATTTTTATATATAATTCACCATTTTAAATTATGCTATTCAGTGACTTTTTAGTAAATATACCACGTTGTACAATCATCACCATGAATCAGCTTTAGAAATTTTCATCATCCCAATATAATACCTCATGCATATTTACTTTAATCCTTGTTCCCTGTCAGTCCTGCCACAGGCAATCACTAATCTATTTTCTGTCTTTATACCTATGCCTCTTCTGGATATTTAATATAATGAAATCATACAATATGTGGTTGCTTGTGTCTGGCTTCTTTCATTGAGTATTAACGTTTTTGAGATCCATCCATGTTTTTGGATATTTAGAGTTCATTCCTTTTTATTGTCAAATAATAATCTACTGTATAGATATGCATACATTAACAATGTCTTTTGAAGAACAAACATTTTAGTAATTTACCAAGAGAAATAAAAGCATATACCCACACAAATTCATCTACTCAAATGTTCACAGAAGCTTTATTTGTAACAGCCCCAAACTGTAAATGATCCAAATTTCTATCAACTAGTTAAAGGATAATCAACTGTAGTATATCAGTATGTTGAAAGACTATTCAGCAATGACAAGAAATCAGTTTGGTGCAGCCACTGTGGAAAACTCTATGGAGATTCCTCAAAAGACTAGGAATAGACTTACCATGTGACCCAGTAATCCCACTCCTGGGCATATATCCAGAAGGAACCCTACTTCAAAAAGATACCTACACCCCAATGTTCATAGCAGCACTATTTACAATAGCCAAGATACGGAAAAAGCCTAAATGTCCATCAACAGATGACTGGATAAAGAAGATGTGGTATATTTATACAATGGAATACTATTCGGCCATAAAAATGACAACATAACGCCATTTGCAGCAACATGGATGTTCCTGGAGAATGTCATCCTAAGTGAAGTAAGCCAGAAAGAGAAAGAAAAATACTATATGAGATCACTCATATGTGGAATTAAAAAAAAAAGAATGTAACTACAAAACAGAAACAGATTCGTAGACATAGAATACAAACTTGTGGTTGCCAAGGGGGCAGAGGAGGGTGGGAAGAGACAGACTGGGATCTCAAAATTTGTAGATACTGACAGGTATATATAGAATAGACAAATAATATTATACTGTATAGCACAGGGAAATATATACAAGATCTTGTGGTAGCTCACAGTGAAAAAAATGTGACAATGAATATATGTATCTTCATGTATAACTGAAAAATTGTGCTCTATACTGGAATTTGACACATTGTAAAATGACTATACTCAATAAAAAAAAGTTTAAAAAAAAGAAAAGAAAAGGAAAAAAATCACTGACACACATAACATGAAGAAAATCTCAAAAGCATTATGCTAAGTGAAAAAAGACATGAAAGACTATAATCGAGATGATTCCATTTATAGGACATCCTAGGAAAAGCAAAATTACACTGACAGAAAGCATTTCAGTGATTGCAAGGAGATAGCAGGTAGAAAGGGGGTTAACTGAATGGGGTATGGGGGATTTTTTTTCAGCCAATGGAAATCTGTGTCATAAATGTGGTGATGGCTATATGACTGTATACATTTGTCAAAACGCATCAAATTTTGGATGAACTTTCTTATATGTAAATCATACCTCAGTAAAGCTGATTTTTATAAATCACGGTATGTCCCTATTCTTCCTTCAGTCCTAACAAAGTCTCCATTGTCTGCAAGGTCAGTCTACTCTAGCACTCACTTAGCAGTTTCTGTGTTTAATTAAGTTCTGGAAATTCTAGTTATGAACGATCACTTAGTCCTTAAATTCATTTTTATAACCATGGAGTTGAATAAAAATTTTCCTAAAATATCCCTAAAATATAAAAAGTATATGCCAACTTCCAGATGGACTAAGTTTTCCTGGAAATAACCCATACATTTCAGAGGCATATAAAAACAAACTTATTAGGCACCAGATGTACACACAGCAACGTGGATAGATCATAAAGCCAGTGCTATATTTAAAAAAGAAGAAGAACTGGAAGGTCTTATCACCATACCATTTATGTCAATTAACAATACATGCACTTTATGTTTATACTCATGCTTTACTGGGTCATACAAAGAAAAAGCCATCAAATACATACAGCAGGAATGGGGAAAGGACTAGGAAATGAGGGTAAAAGATAAATTAATTAAAAAGTTAATTCAAATCAGTCAAATCAATCAATAGAGATCTTATACAGACCAAAGAGAGCATGCTATGATTCGAGAAATGCGATTAACTAATTCCCGCTTTGCATAAAAGTTCCAAATAAAAACTAAGATGACGTTAAAACTAACACAGTCTCAAAAAACATATTCAACAAGGTTTTGGATAAATAATGGAATTGGGTCATTATCTAACCTACCAGTTAAAAATTTTATTGGAGAAAACACTCATTGTTTTTACTAGTAGGATAATACAAAAACAAAATGGTTTAATATGGTGGTGTTCTCAGTCATATTCACTCAATGCTATTGCCTCAAATGTGAGAAATGAAGAAATTAATAAAAATAAAACAGCAAAGCAGGGTTAAGAAAAGAAGATTTACTCAGTAAGAGAATACAACCAATCTCAAAGCCAAATGAAGTATAGCATTCTCTTCTAGAGGGTCATGTGAGAGATCCAGTGTGTGGATAAGAATGCGCAGTGGATAAATACGCATACTCATAGCCTGCTTGCTGATATGAGGAACACATCTACAGTCAAATCACTAACTTAAAGGAGAAAGAAATATGGTCCTGATTGTTAACATGTCCACGCTTCAAGGACAGAAATAACATTTTCAATAGAACAGAGCAAGTACATATATACGTACAGTCTTCTATTTCAGCATTATTTTTTCTTTTCAAATAAATCTAGAGAACCAATCACTGCATCTAATGTAAGTGTATACACATAGGAATAGGTACTTAATTAAAAATCTATCTTGAGAAAGGAGAGAATAAAGAAGCACAATAAATATTTGATAAACTGAAGGGAAATGCCAGGCCTTAGCTCTAGAAGGACCTTAGAGATGAACTTGCCTGCACTTTTATTTTACTGATACGGAATAGACGAGATAAGTCCAGGGGGAAAAAAAAAGAATGTGCACTTCTGCTCCCAAGTAAATGGTTCCCAGTTAGATTAGTTCCCAGGGAATGAGTCTCTTCGGTTTGCTACTGTTGTAGAACTGAGCCCTCACATGGGCCCATTCAGACACCCAGACAGCCGACCTGCTGGTTTAGCACTGCATCCCTCACCTGTGAGCCCAAAGCCTAGCAGTCCCAGGGCACTCCCCGACACACATTTCTTTTGCAGAATAAAAAGAAGGCAAGCCTAGGCAGACATTAAGCACGTGAAGTTTAAATACTTCTCCTAAACAGAAATAATAACCTCTACTGCCTTAAGGCTGATTCCCAGTTCCTAAGGATTGAAAGGCTCTTTGACCAGAGTTTAATCAGAGGGTTTTATATGAGAGACCGAAACATCTGGAGCAATGCTAGTCTCAGATGATACTTAAGTCCAATGAATGTATTTGGAGACTGCTCCAATTGAAGACAATTAGTAATAATCCTTTTTCAACTCCTGTAAATTGCTACACCTCTCCTTCTTTAAAGAACCCCACTGTGCCCTTATGTTGTTCAGTGGAAATGGTAGAGGGAGGAATCTACTCGTTGTACCATTAAGTAAAAGAAAAAAAGACTACCTTCTGATTTTACCATCCCCACCCCTGCCTTGGACTCTTCTGGGCCATAATTTACTCTGACATAACGTGCTTTACTTCAGAAGTGCTTAAATATGAGTAGCTTAGATCCCCTTTAAATCATACTTCAGACACATAAAAGACTGTACAGAAGTCTGGATATACTAGTTAGAAATGGTTACTTTAGACCAAAAAAAAAAAAAATCAAAACATAAGGCACAAACCAAAACTTGTAAGGAAAGGGAATCCTAAACACAAAGCGAATGTCAGTTACTTTCAAATGAGCTACTTGTTTGTTCTTCAGCAGTTGTCTCTCCACTCCTTTCTAGGAAGGGACTTCCTTCCTCATCACAAACAGCTCCTGGCTAGTGCTAAAGGACAGAAATGAGCCAGCGAAAAAAATCACAACTCCTGGTCATTTCCTAGAACGAGGAGGTGTAACACAAACACAGTCCAGGACAAAAGAAAGTTTTCTCGTGATAAATATATTACAGGATATGCTGAAACACGGTGTCAGATTTACACAAATTTTTATGGTAGTTCAGAAAAGTTCATCCCTTGCTATCATCCCAAGAAACATTCATTTACTTTTTTTCCATCAGGAGTATTTCACTGTGAAAGTCCAAGAAATACTGGTATAGGGGGAAAAACAAACCCAACAACCCTGAACCTGGTGTCATAATATGTGGGTTCAAGTCCCAGATCTATTCCTTATGTACTAACCATATGACCTTGGCCAGGTCACTTACTTCTCATTTTCTTGACTGAGATCACACCACTTACGATTTTATGTAGCTCTATATAATTTTTATTCAAATGCAAGGCATAGGTAAAATTTTATTTATGATCTAAGTGGTTTAATCTAATGCAAATGATATAGAAGTCCTGAAAAAAATTAGCTTATACTTCAAAAAGCATGATCTCTCTTCCATGTTAAGTTTTCTTTCTTTCTATTGCATTAAGAGAGATATGGGAGGGAAAAAAGAGACATAAGATTAGCGGAGCAACACACAGTGTTCTGCAGTGTCATGGAATGGAAAAAGCTAAGGGTGAGCTATTGGGCGTTAAAGTTATAAGGAGGTAGGAAAGATGATATAGACTACAATCCCTTGAGAAGAAACAAGAATGGTCCTAGGAATTAAAAGAGGATTGGATTCTTTCCTGATTATTGTTGGAGAGGCCAAGACTAGGACATAACAAGTTGGTCCTCCACAGCTGTGCTGCTTTGGCAACCAAAAAAAATTTCTAGTTGACTGTCAATCAAAATGTAAAAGATGGAGTTGTCCACCAAAAAGTAGTAAATCTGCAGTACAAATAGGCAGAGGACCTGGACATCAAATTCAAGGATCACCAGACACTATGCAAGAAAAACAAGTATTTCAGGATAGCAAAGAGTAATTTGCTAATATGGCAGTACGGTGGCAAAATTCTATTTTATTTATGCATTCTTTAACAAGTCCACACGTGAGTAAAAGTAGAATTAACTGTCAAAAAGGAAGAACACTTTCAAATGTTCTCAGCTAGAGTTCAGGGGTATTGAGGGGCTTTCTCTTCCTCCCAACAGCGATAGCACATCGTCGACCCAAGTAAATACAAGAACCTTTTGGAGAATCCATGAAACAGAGTTGGTCAAACTAGCTCTCGAGATAAGGACCCTGCAAATGGTTATAAACATATGATCTGCATTACAGTTAGTCTTGGACAAAATGATCTTTATCAGATTTTGTCTTAAGTTTTTCCAACTCTTGACATTCGAATATTCTTTTTGCTCCAAAAAAAAATTAATGTGCTAATAACAGTTTTTTGAAATAGAGATAACTATAGAGATTATAGATGAACATTTCTCTTCTGTTATCATAACACTAGTACAGTTTTAATAAAAAGGTTGGAAGTAATATCTACTTAAATTAAGAGAAAGAAAAGAAGTTTACTTCTTCTGAGAAAGCAAACTGATATTTTTTTCTTTGATTTCCTTACACTTTGGAATGAAGGCCTGCTATTAAAACTTTCAATAAACCTTTAAAATAAACATGCTATAAAGCAATATTAAGTTTGGCCTTTAATGAGCCATTTTTGCTATTTTATAGGCATTCTAAAATGATAACACATCCCCTAGCCACAGACTCTCCTAATACTGCTGGCAAAGGACACAGGGATGCGTGTCCTTCATCAGACACCACAGTACTTGGAAGATGAGCTGGGTTCTTGTACTGTCATCGACACTAATAAGATCTGTGATCCTTAACCTCTCTTTACTCAATTTCCTTCACTGTAAAACTAAAGTACTTGAGGAGACTGTGTTTCTAATTTTTATTCATTCAGCTTCTAGATAATGTTTAGTGTGCATTTGATTTCATGAACTCCCTGAAGAGTCTGTAGCCCATGAGTGGCAACTTCTGAACAACAGATTCTTTAAGGATCTTACCAAGATTCTTTATTTTAGAGCTGGGGCAAAGAAGGGGAATGGGAAGGACAGACATACAAACACTACTTACTTTTCAAAGAAATATCTGAGAATCATCAAGCCAAAAGCACACGGGATGGTTATATATAAATGAGAGGGTTTCGCAAAGACGAGTCCATCGTGGTCTTCAAGATCTGACCACTTTATTGTTGGAGGGAGCCAGAATCTTTCCAACCAAAACCATTCTTTAAACGTCTGAAACATTCTAGAGAGATGGAAAAAGAATACATTAGACTTATAAAACAAATACTTAAAGTTGAGATAACACTGACACCTTTACTCAAAATACCTAAACCAGAGGGTTTTGAAAAGAGGGCAAGAATGAGGTACTATCATTTACTGGGCTTCGTGACTCTTTGTTGCATTCAACAAGAATTTTAATGCCATCACGCTCAGAACAATTTTGGCTGTGACACGGCAAACTTAAGTTTAACACACCACTGTTTACATTGTTGGCAAAACATAAGTTAATATTACGGATATGTATCTTCCTCTTATGTGATTCTATAGTATGAAAAATAATTTAACAATCAACTCTACAACTTCAACATTCCGAAGGTCAACCTCATGAAAGCTCCAAGTATGTACAAATCTTTACTAGCATCCTAAGAACTTCTTTGGGAGATAAAGGACAAGCATATTTAGCTTCATATTACAATAAGGAGTTCAAGTTAGTCCATGTCTACAAATATTTATTGAGATTCAATTATTTGTCAAGCGCTGTGCAAGGCACTAAAGATGCAAAGATGAAAAAGACAGCATTCTTGCCTTAAGAACCTTATATTCCGTGGGCAAGACAGGCCTGAACAGACGAGTCCTACGCACCTTCTTGTAGGCACAATGAGAAAGGTATGTATAGGGTGCTCAGCACTGAGCCCAGCCAGGAAGCGTCAGGGGAAGGTCACTGGAACAGATGATCCTTGAGGTGTCTTAGACAGTGAGAGGAAGTAAACCAGGGAAAGGCAAGGAAATGCTAAAGACGGAGTGGAAGCTTTAAGGAGAGAAAGTAACCAGAAACAGAATAGCACTGAGATGTCCTAACCTCATCATTTAGGCCATGACAATGTTAATCCTGACATTTTGATCTTGAGGATGTTTTGATTTCCTCTTTTAAGAGGTAATCATGTTAGGTATCTTAAGTGCGGTGGTGGCTTCAAAGATGCATACATCTATCAAAATCCACTGAATTATACACCTGAAATATGTGTAGTTTACTGTACAGAAATTATACCACAATAAAGTTGTTCAAAAAAATTTTTTTAAATAGTTAATCAGAGAAAAGAAGTCCAAATGTCCTCAGGTTCACAACAAGGTGGTCAGAATAACTCCATTAGAACCTCTCGATTTGTAAATAACACAGTGCCCTTGGAACACTACCAGCAGTTTGGTTCCACCAGAGTGTAAGAATCCGAGGTGGGGGCTGGTGGGTGACACACAGGGGCCAGAGTCTCAGTTTATTGTCCTGGCATAATTATTAATAGTGCCCCTTCCTTTCAGAAGTGTCCCAGTTTGGGCAATCAATCACATGGTGATTCTCATAAAAAACCTGGTCAGACAGTAGAACTTGGCCACAGAGGGCCTGCGGTCCATGCTGAGGGGCTTGGGCTTTAGCTAATGGAACCCGTGAAGGGTGTTATGCAGAGGATAAAATGGTCAGATATTTAAGAAAGGTCAGCCAGGTCCTCTGTGAGCCCACATGGTGTCTTTCTGCCAAGTAGAGGACGGTGTCCTCTCTGAGCAGACACAGCCCCTCTACCCAGCAGAATGGGAGCTGAGTTTCAAACCCCAGAAGGCCCCGGCCTGGCAGATACATGGCTGCTGTCTGGCAGTGGTATGGAGCACATTTCGGGAGACAGAAAGACGAGAGCTACTAGGAGCTTGACGCACCGGACGTGGTCAGAAATGGGAAGCTGCAGAGAGCAGTGGCAATGGGGAGCTGAACATGCTGATAATAACGCCGACCGTGAGGTCACACATGAGATCCAAACAGGTGGAGAATGAAGAGAGGCCAAGAGAGAAGTGAGATGGAGGAGAAATAGAAAACTCTAGGGGCTGGAGGTCAAAGGACAAGAGTGGTGGGCACGGAGCGAAGGACCTGAGAGAGAGGGAAGGCTCAGTTAGAGGTGAGGCTCGAGAGCAGGATACTGACATTACAGATTTCTGACTGCAGATGAGGAAGAGTTCCAGTGTATGGACCCCAATGTCCTTCAGAAAAATCCACACCAAAACCAGTAACTGACCCTTGGTGAGACATTCCCCACTTGATTTCATCTCTCATCCCCTGTTCAGAGACGTGCACATCCTAGTCACACTCACACCTGCAAGGCTTGTGTGGAGAAGGAGGGAGGCTGCCTTCTTTTTCATGTATTAATCGTTTTACTGTAATTCCTACCTGAAGGGAGGGTAATCAGCATTAATATGGTCACAAAATTGTGTAAGTTCGGTGGAACACAGATCATCAAGAAAGACTTCCTGAATGCTTCCTGTCTATCAGGCCACAGAAAGGAAGGGATGACCCTGGGCTCAGGGAGCTCACGGCTGAGTCAGGACTGGTGCGGCTCTGGACTCGGGAGGAGGCGGTGAGAGAGCTGAAAGAGTTGCTAGGAAGGAAGGAGGAACTCACTCTGGGAAGGGAGCTGAGGGTTCACGCCCAGCTACCTGGGCCATCCGACATAACTGACCAAAAGAGGGAAGTAAGACAGTACACACAGCCCGATATGGCTCAGAACAAGAGCAGGTGCAAGTTTTGGGAGGCTACAGCTAAAATTCAAACTTTCTGCAGATCTTAAAAGCCAGCCAAGGCCATGGAGGTCTCTCCTGTAATAAACAAACCATGCACCTGGCCTGTGTCCCTCACCGCATCAGAATGAGCTGTTCTTGCGAGAGCAAAGATATTTCTTCCTAAAAGTTTGCCTCAGCATGTTCAATACTTCATTGGCTCCAAATTTAACAGAGTAGGATTCACAGAACAAACAGCAGTGGCAGCAAGTCGGTTTTGGTATTATTTAAATAATTGTTATATAAAATAGCTTGCCCACGCCTAAAATGCAACTCCAGGCAGTACAGATTATGCTGTCCAGTGTGAAATATAACTAAATAAATAGGTTTCAATGGTTATATAGGGGTTGCCCCTCTAAACAGTGCCCTTGTTCATCATATGCAAGCAATGAAACAAGATCTGTTGAAAGCCATGGTAACTGTAACACCCAGCAACCAAAAAATGTATAAAGGGGGAAAGAAAGAATCCAAAAGTTGGGGGTGGCCCTCTGGAAAATGTAGCTCAAACTGAGAAAAAAAATCTACATTATTTACTCTTTCTTAATAAGCTGCTGATAAACATCAATTATTGCTGCTTTCAAAAGAGTTAAGAATCTCGTCTTCACACCATACGCAAAAATGAACTCAAGACAAAGCACAGACTCAAATATAAGGGCAAACGTAATATTATTTGAAGATTATATAGGAGTAAATCTTCATGACCTTAGGTTAGGCAAAGCCTTCTTACGTATGACACCCAAAGCACACATGACAAAACAAAATATAGATAAAGTGGACTTCATCAAAACTAAAGCCTTTTTGTGTTCTAATCGATAACATCAAGAAAGTTAAAAGACAACCCACAGAATGGAAGGAAATATTTGAAAATTATATACCTGATAAAGGACTTGTATTTAGAATATATGAACACCTAGAACTCAATAATGAAAGCACAAACCACACAATTTAAAAACAGGCAAAGGATCTGAATACACATTTCGCCAAAGAAGATACACAAATGGCCAACAGGCACATGAAACAATGCTCAACATCATTAGCCACGAGGGAAATGCAAATAAGAATGAAACCAGAGAGATCCTTCACGCCCACGAGGATGGCTATAATCAGAGATGACAAGTGTTGGCAGGATGTGGAGAAGCTGGAACCCTCATTCAGTGCTGGAGGGAAAGTAAAATGGTGCAGCTGCTGTGGAAAACAGCCTGGCGGTTCCTTGAAATGCTAAACGTAAAGCTACCACATGACCCAGCCGTCTACTCCTAGGTGTGTGCTCAAGGGCATGGAAAGGATTCATGCTACAACATGGATGGCTCTTGAAAACACGCAAAGTGAAAGAAGCCAGACGCAAAAGACATGTATTGTATGACTCCACGTATGTGAAATGTCCAGAATAGGCAAATCTATGGAGACAGAAAGTAGGTTAGTAGTTCCTTAGGGTGTACAATGTGATGTGGGGGGCAATGGGGAGTGACTGCTAAGAGGTACAGGTTTTGTTTGGGGGTGATGAAAATGTTCATAAATTGAATATGGTGTTGGCTGCACAACTCTGTGAATATTCTAAAAACCATTAAATTGCACACTTTAAATGAGTGAGTTATATCAAAAAAAAAAGTTTAAAAGTCTCCTTCTCAGCTTCATCCCCTTTAACCTTTACATCCTTTAATCCATGGCCCAGCCTGAGCTTCATGCTAAAGCTCCTATTATCTCATTTAAGGGGCTTCAGTTTTACCTCCCAGAATCACCTGAGTCAAGACTGTGTTTATGAATCCAGAAAAATACATGAATGAAGGGAAGACTATATTCAGATTCAGACTTCAGCATAGATTTTAAAGTTCACGACTTTCTGGGAGAAAAAAAATATTGCATGCTTTAAAAAGTAAAAGCAGACCAGCTCCCCTGAAGAGAAGTGGCTCTCCCAGAGGATAGCCCTGGGGTACAGGGTGTTCAACAGCCATCCCAGACCAACATGTCAGCTCCAGGCGGTGGGCTTGACTGATCCAGGCTCTCCCTCCAGCCAGCCCCTCTACCATACTTTCTCTCGAGATGAGATCAGAGGGAACTGGGCCTGGCACTCTCCTCTCTTCCCTTCTGTGATTTCAGTCTATTAGCAAGAAACAGGCCACATTCTCTTAGCCTTTCAATAGCTGTCTTAAGGCCACAAGCTTGTTCCAAGACATCTGGCATCCTTTAGAGTTACCTTACCCTGACCCTAGTGCACAGGATGTGCCATTTGGGAGGTAGCCCAGCATCCAGCCCTCAGAGGAGCAGGGGAAATCACCACCGTGTGTGGTGCCGTGCTTTTCCCACTGCGAAAGCCAAGGTGGACAATTCTCCATCTGCTGGCGGTCAGCCTGGGATGGCCTGGGCTTGGCCAAATGGATGCTTTGCCTAGGACTCTGAATCTGGGGCAGACAGGGACAAGCAGCAGCA